CTCTTCCTCCTCCTCCTCCAACTCTTCCATGTCCGAGCCCGTCCCAGAAGACTTCTTCACTCTGGGATCCCAGAGGGTCCTGTCTGCCTGAAGCTGAGGAAGAGGTATGGGCCTGACTCTGAGCTTGTTGGGGGGTTGAGTCTTGAGGTGGGACAGGAGTTGGCTCATGGACTACAGCTCCAGGGAAGTCTGTCTTTCTCTTTCTGCTTCTTGGAACGGCGTGTTCTTGCCCTTTTTAGCCACTGTCTGGAAAGCGAAAGTCTTAAAGGGAATGGCTGATGCCTGCCGCGTCTGCATCTCAACCAGCCAAGGAGGGCGACCTCAGCCACTAACCATGGCGCCAATTACCCATTTACGCCCTCCAACGAGGCACCGGGGACTCGTGGCTCTTGCAATTAGGCTCTGACAGAAACTATTTGCATGTGTTATTGTGTAGGCTGTAAGAGAGTCAGCAGTTAGACATCTGGACCACACGTCTTGGGAAGGGGACCCGGGAGTCAGAGAGCCACCGGGTGGGAGAGACAGCTCCTGGCCGCTAAAGAGGAGCAGGAAAAGGAGACAGATTTCAAAATGCCACCTGCAGGAAGACTTGCAGGGCAGGAGATGTGCCTCTTCTTGGGCACCTTGGTGTGGGGAGCTCCCTAATCGACCAATCCCAGCTCTTCTGCCAGGACGGGGCTCCTCTTCTTGGGCTGCCTGGGGGGGCGTCTGCTCTTACCTGGCCCTGGCCCTCTCTGATCCGCCAGTGGATCTCCTGAGAATTTCCTCTGTAACTGTGGCTAGAAAGCGCCTGAATAGTCCTGGGTGAGTTCTAAGTGTCTCTGAGTCTGAGTTTTCTTTACTGTAAATGGACCTGATGACCTGTCATCTGACTCGCAGTGTTGTGGCTGGAAACACCTAGTGACAGAAGGCCTTAGGAAGGCCTCCCTCTCCTTCCCTTCATTACGGACAATCAATAGATCACTGACCGTGGAACTATTTACTGAATTTTTTTTTTCAGTTGCAGAATTTAACACTTCGTTGTATCATTATTAATTCAAATACCTACATATAGAATACTGCATTGTTGTGCCTAGAAAGCTCTTTTCTTTTTTAATTTTTAGTTATGCATGGCAGTAGAATGATTTTTGGCAGAATCTCTACACAGAGTGTAACTTATTCTCTATGGGTCCCACTCTGTGGTGTGCATCATGTGGAGTCACCTGGTTGTGTACACAGACTCAAGGCAGGAAAATCATAGTTGATCAATTCCACTGCCTTTCCCATTCCCTCCCCCCTCCTTCCGTTTGTTTCCCTTTGTCTAATCCAATGGACTTTTATTCTTTTCCTCCCCACGTCCCTTCTTGTGGGTTAGCATCCACAAATCAGAGAAAAGATTCAGCCTTTGTTTTGGGGGATGGGCTTATTTTACATAGCATGACAGTCTCCAGTTCCACCCGCTTGCTGGCAAATGCCATAATTTCATTCTTCTTTATGGCTAAGTAATATTCCATTGTGTAGACATACCACATTTTCTTAATCCATTCATCTGTTGAAGGACACCTACATTGTTTCCATAGCTTGGCTACTAAATAGCTCCTTTCTGCAAGTAGGATATCAGCTCCTTGTGGACAGGGGATGGCCTTTGTCTCTCACTTAGCGTAGGTGGAAGCCAAGGAGTGGCCAATACTCCTTTTTGAGACCATGATGTGTGCATAGTTCTGATGGTCTTCATAAGGCCATTTTTCTATCTTTTCGTCTCAAAGTGAAAGAGCATGGAATGTGCCAAGCACAGTGCCTGGCACAGAGTAAATGTTGAATGAAGCTCACTTTGCTATTCCGTCTGTAATGGGTGGAGCACACACAACCCCGTCTCTTTCTAAGACCCTTTCTCATACTGAAAATGAGAGTGAAGGGGAGGGCGTGGCGGAACTTTGACATCAGCAGACTTTCTCCACACATTTCCTGGGGTTTCCGACCATGTTCATGGTGTCTTTCTTAGCTATAAGGTAACAACCAGGTTCAGTCCCCTCAGATCTACAACCCAAATGACACTCCTCTTGCTTCCCCCAGAACCCTCCTCTCAGTCTGGGGGGAAATCAGGTGAGATGTAGAACACACTTGCAAAGTCCTTCCCAAAGCAGCTTGTTTGGGGCCAAGACAGTGTCCTGCTGTCTGCTGAGCCGGGTGCCTGGCTGGGGACACCGGTCAGGTTCTCCACCTGCCCGCAGGATGGGAGACTCAGATTTCTTTCCCCAGTTGCAGGTGGACACACACCTTGGTTTTACTTATTTATATGTGGTGCTGAGGATCGAACCCAGGGCCTCTTCGTAGGAGGCAAGCCTCTACCTGAGCCCAGCCCAGCCCCAGGGGGTTTCCTTTATGGCCTGCCTCTCCAGAGTCATGGGTGTGCCCACGCCCGGGACGCTCTTCCCTTGTGGTCTTCATCTGCAGTGATCTATGACATGATCGTGGTGATCCAGGAACCAATATTCCCTGCCCTTCCCACTTTCCGACCCTCCCTCCACCGAGACCCTATGGCTCGGTACCTGGCTCTCTCAAGGCCAGAGAGAAGCTCTTCCCAGGGGCCTTATTTTGAGGCTGGACTGCAGGGGAAAAGTCACGGGGTGGGGACAGTCTGTTTGGGGGGGGACCTAGGTACCACCAGGGCTTCCTCTCGGCTTCAGGACTGGGTTAGTGTAGACGGGGAGGAGCGTGGTCTCCGCTGTACCCACAGCACTTCCCGGTCCTCAGGACAACGCCGGGAGGTCGGTGTCGCTGTCCTTGACTGGCTGAGCGGAACAGAGGTCGACTCGCCCAACGTCATGCAGCTAGTGTGTGGCAGAGCCAGTTCAAACCCAGACAGGTTGGCCCAGAAGTCTGTCTCATACTCTGCAGGACCGGGGAGGAACTCTGGCCAGGGAATCAGATCTCCAGGTGGTTTCTTTTACTGGAGGTGTCGCCCCTCTCCGTGCAGGGAATTCGGCCCCATGTTCCTTCACTTTTTGCTGATGCTAAACTTTTTCACCCATGAAAAGCACGACCCACTAAGAAACAGCTGTGTGCACTGTTGGAGTGTCGTGATGGATGCTGTGTGGGGAAGCACATCTCAGGCGGTGACCTGGAGCAAGGGACAGCTCGGGGCTGGCCTCGCGAATGCCGCCTGCTACCGTGGGCGAGTTGGAAAGTAGCCTGGCTCCGTGCCTGAGTGCCCCTGGTTGTTCCAGATGCTCTGTGCGATTTCCTTCCGGTGCCACCATCTCGGGCTCTCAGTCACTGGTGTGAGCTCCGTCTGCTCACAGTGACCTCGTGGTCGACACGTCCTCTGCCTGGGCCCGTGTCTACATCTTAGCTGAGGAGTCAGGAGAAGACAGAAGGAGGGGGCTTTGGAGAGATGTCCCACAGTTTCCGGGTTGGCTCATCTGTGACACATGATCTAATAAGAGACAACCTCATTTCCCTTGATTCCACTCCACTGGAAGACCTGATGTGGGAAGAGCAAAGAGATGAAGTCTGGCATTGGCTGAGACTTCTAACCCTACTTTGACTGACTGGTCACCATGCTCATGTCCTTTGCTCTCTCTGAGCCTCATGGGATTAGAAATCGGAAAGACTAAGTGAAGTAAAACAGGTGACAGGTGAAGTCCCGGCCCAGTTCCCGGGGAGCATCCTGGGGGTGGGAGGGTTCTCTCCCCCACGTGGGACCCAGAGGTCAGGTCCTTTCCCTTCCAGGCTCCCCAGGGCCTGTCTGGGTGCTGGTGGTCGCGCTCTGTGAAACACGTTTTCCTGTGCTGCTGGGTGCTCTGCTCAAGACGGCAGAGCAGGGTCCTGAGGACTCGGCCTGTGCGTGGACACCATTCTTCTCTGATGTCAGGCAGGGTGGGCAGAGGGTCTCCTGGCAGGGACAGTCTTCCTGATGATGCCCGGGAAAGCTGTGGCTGGGGACTCCAGAGGCCCCACAGAGAGGTGGCAGGAAGGGCCCTTAGGAGGCGGCTCGCCAGGCCAAGCTCCAGCCCTGGTGACAAGGACAGCCAGAGGGCAGGCCCCAGGGGAGGAAGGGGGCCGCCTGGTCCAGGAGGAGGAGAGAGGGAGGTTGTGGAGGTGGAAGGAAGAAGTCTGTTAAATGGGAGCAAAGACTCTACGAGGTCAGAGAGGGGCGGGAGGAGTGGAGGGGAAGGGGTGGAGAGTAGGAGGGACAGTGGGAGGAGGGTGACAGAGACGGCTAAAAGAGGCTGGGAGGGGACAGCTGACAGGCCAGAGCAGTCCCCGGGGGCAGCTGGGCAGCAGGAGCACAGAGGGCCCCGGAGCCCCCGGAGGAGCAGCCGCAGGTAAGGCTGGACTTGAACTCGGATTAGCTTCAAGTCAGGGGAGTGGCCCGAGGGGACACTTGACTGCCCAGGGCTGGAGGGGGACAGAGCTCCTGTGGGTCCTGAGAGTTTACCCCCTGTCCTCTCACTCTTCCCGGGATGGCGAGCTCTGAAGGAGTGCAGAGGGGGACTCGGTGACGCAGCAAGAGAGGACTGGGTTGTTAGGGGAGCAGCAGGGGTGTGCGTGCGTGTGCGTGTGTGTGTGCGTGCGTGTGTGCGTGCGTGTGTGCATGTGTGTGTGCATGTGTGCGTGTGTATGTGTGTGTGTGCGTGTGTGTGTGAGTGTGTGTGCATGTGTGTGCGTGTGTGTATGTGTGTGTGCATGTGTGTGCATGTGTGTGTACATGTGTGTGTGCGTGTGTATGTGTGTGCATGTGTGTGTGCGTGTGTGTGCGTGTGCGTGTGTGCATGTGTGTGCGTGTGTGCATGTGTGTGTACATGTGTGTGCGTGTGTATGTGTGTGTGTGCATGTGTGCATGTGTGTGCATGTGTGTGTGTGAGTGTGTGCGTGTGCGTGTGTGTGCGCATGTGTGTGCATGTGTGTGTACATGTGTGTGTGCGTGTGTATGTGTGTGCGCATGTGTGTGCATGTGTGTGCATGTGTGTGTGTGTGCGTGTGTGTGTGTGCGTGTTTGGGGGGCTTTGCGGTTACAATCCAGCCTGTGGACTTGAAGTGCTCCTGGGGCATCTTAGCAGCTGGTCACTGGTCCATTTTCCAGAACTTTTGGGAAGAGAGTTTGGCCCTTTAAAAACAGAAAGCGGCCGGCTCTGCCGAGCTCCCTCGGAATCTTTTCTGAAACGCTCTCCTCTCCGCAGCATCAAGGGGAGTGTTTTGATTTTTTTTTCTTCCTAAGGCATGTTGGATGGTTTAAAAATACTCTCTGCTCAGTATTTCTGCGGAGGGTCACGTCCCCACTGTGCGGTGGCTCATGAGGACTGCAGGCTGGTGCCGTCAGTGGGGAGGCTGGGGTGCAGGACGCAGCACTTCCCAAGCGCTCCCTCGGGCAGGGTGAGGCGCGAAGCCAGCAGAGGGCTCTGACTCCTGAGCGCTCTCCTGAGCCAGTGGTGCAAGAGCCCAGACTTGGCCTGGGGGACTCGGGTCGGTCCCCGAGTGGCTGTGTGACTCGGGACAGGACAGTCCCCACTTCGGGCCTCAGTCTCCTCGTCTGTACCTGAGGTAGAAGTTTCCTCCCAGCAGTCGCGTTGTGCAAGGCCCAAAGCCACCGGCTCAAGCACCCTCAGAGCCCCCAGGAGCGGGCCGCCACCCAGAGTTTCCATGTCCCTGTCCGTCCCCTGTTTGTTCGTCCCCTGTTCAGCCTGTCTCTTACTCCTCTTCCCCGATTCCGTCCTGTCCGAGGGGTCCTGGCCTCCCCCTCAGCACATCACTGTTGAGGACACACGTTGGCTCAACAAGGTGCTGACACACCAGGTCCATCTGGCCTCCGAGGAGCAGGGCGGCTGGAGCCCTGGAATTCCGAGCAGCTGCGCAGAGGCGTGACCAAGGCCAGCATCTGGAGGTGTGGCCACAGGTGGACCAGCCTGACTTTCACGTCAGCAGGCCGAATGGCCTCCACTTCTCCCCCCACTGTCCCTAGATCTGGCTCTCAGGGGCCACCTTCCTGTGGGGCTCCTCAAGGCAGGGGACTGCTTGCCCCCCGCCCTGGCCAGCTCTCCAACCCCTCCCCACCTAGCAGCTGCCGGTGCAGAGCCCGCAGGCCGCGGCACCTGGTGGGGACTCCCGGGGGGCTCTCTGGCTTCTTGCCGGGCACACTCTGGACGTCCCCTACCCAGACACGTGACGTCCATGGAGCCAGCGCAGTCACAGAATCAGGTTGCTCTGCGTGGCCGCTGCCCTGGACGCACAAGTATCTCGCTGGGCTCCTGAAACGCTCCTGAACGTGGCTGTTCTTATTTCTGAACTGCCCCACTCCTGTCCCCGCTCCTGTCCCCCATTCTTTGCACTGAGCTGACGTCTTAGGACATTAGAACTCTGACACCTCCTCAGCCTCCTCCTCGGACAAATAAGGAGGGCGAGGCCTAGACAGCAAAATGACGGCGGGAGATGACAGTGAGTCACGCCACTCAGTGGGGAGGACACACGGCTCTGCCTGCCGTGTCCAGGGCCCTCTGCCCCCTGCCCTGGGCCGTCCCCAGCCCCCGCTGACTCTGCCACGTGAGCGTCTCTGTTGCCCCCGGTGCACGCTCCTGTCATCTCCATTTTCTAGTAGGGGACACAGCAGGGGAGGTTGGGCTGCCACCTGCCTCTTGGGTACTGGATGACATGACCTCTGGGCCCCGTTAATTTAAAAAGGCAGGGGCTGGCCTTATGGGGGTCAGACAGGACAAGGCCTGGAGACCTGCCATCCTCAGGGCCAGGGATCCAAGGCTGGGCTCTGCCTCTGTCCCAGGGAGCAGCTCACTCACCCTCGGGGGATCCCAGTGGCTTTCTGCATGAAGTGGCCCTCATAGACCACCCTAGCTTCAGGTCGAGGGAACAAAGTGGGAGATGGCCATTTCCTGGAAAGATTCAGGTTCCCGAGAAAGAAGCTGACCTCCCTGGTACCCTTGGAAGGTTGGCTCCTGGGGGTGACAGTTGGGTGCTACTTTGTGAATACGTCATTTTTGACATATCAGCAAACAATGGGCAGGAGAAACCCAGCAATCTAGTCACTTTCACATGGGAGGGGAATCTTGAGGTCCTGGAAGAGCCCAGGGGGCCCTTAGGGTGTATCCGACTCAGGAGTAGAGAAAAAGGAAGAGCCTGAGATGTTAGCTGCATGACTCGGGGCGAACCATTTTCTGTCTTTGATCCTCAGTTTTTCCATTTGGTGAAGAGCTTAATAAAATCTTCCTGTAATGTTTAGTGAAGATCAAGTGATTCTTTTTCAGTGCCAGGGATTGAACCAGGACCAGGGCCCATGGTAGGCAAGCTCTCTGCCTCTGAGCAGCACCCCCAGCCTGGTATTTTTAGTGGCTGACACGTAGTAGGTGCTCAACTAACAGCAGAATTATAAGGTAGAAGCCAGGTCACCTGGTCCTCAGCCCAGGTCTCTTTGAATTGCTTCTTATTTGTTGCAAGGCATTTCTTTAGTGGCGGTGAGCCACAGCACATGAGGCTGAGACTACGTGGCTGGGTTTTTAACTACAGACTTTTTTCTGGGACTCCTTTTGCTGACCTCCAAGGTGCAAGCAGGAAGTCTGGATTCGCCTCAGCTTTGCACTAACTGGACACCCTATCCCATGGTAGTTCGCGAGTCTCCAACTCCCCCATTCTCTAGAGCTACACTGTCTCCGGCCACCACGCCGGCCCCACAGGAGCGCACTGGGGTCAGGGAGGGGTGGCTAAAGTCACAAGGAGGCAGCTGGAGCCACAAAGAGCCTCTCACGAAATGGTGACACGACGTGTTCACCGGGGACTTCCAGATCCTGACTGCAACCTGGAGACTTCGTGGTTCGGAATTTCTAGAGAGGACAGAGGTGACGAGGGTCAAGATGTGGCTGCCTCTCAGATCCCAGCGTAGACACCCCTCCTCCACTTCCCCCTCTCTGGTGGGCGTCCTGGCTGGGTGGTCAGATTCAGAAGTGCACAGCCTCTCGGGGCGGGGGGGGGCATGTGCATGAGGCAGGCCCGGGGCTTGAGTCACAGCCATGTGAGGGGACAGGTTGGGCCTGTCACAGGAGCTAGAGGGACTGCTCTGGGCAGGTGCACCTCTCTGCACCACCTCTGCAGCAGGGAAGGCTTCTGCCTCATGGAACAAGGAGCAGACAGACCAAGGAGCGTCCCCGCCTCGATAGTCCCCGCCCAGCACTGGGCCACCCACTCCGTGGAGTGGCTCCTGCATCATGCTGGGGGTCTTTACTGGCCGTGTCAGAGAGGAAACCAGGGCCCTAGCATTATTTCCTGCTTTCTACGGGCCAGTCACCTCCTCTTTATCCCCGAGTGGGCACTTCCATGTGCAGACCAGCTGGACACCAGGACTGAAATGACTGACTAAGGCCACACGGCTGGAAAGGGAGGCCCGCCGGGCAGTGGTCCCGCCATTTCTCAGGGACCGCGAGTCCTGTCGTCTGAGGGTTGCTGGTCCTGGGGCTCTTGTCATGACGTGCCATCAGTGGAACACAGCCCTCTATGTGGCCAGCCGGGAACCAGCAGGAGACACCCCGCAGCCCGGAGCAGTTAGTGGCTAAAAAAGGAAATGACTTTCCATATGTGAGTTCTGGCCAAACGGCGGCAGATGCTGAGCGTCTGGGAATCCGCACCACTGTGGGCGAGGCCCCGATGTCGTGACCAGTTCTAGGAACAGCAGGGGCAAGAGGTGGCCAGCCAGTGACCAGAAGCTAAAAGAAGCAGCTCGGGCCTCTTTATGGGATGTGGAAAAGTGAGAGGAACCCTCCCACCGGCTGAGGCCGGGTCCCAGTGCAGATCCATTGGTCTGTCCAGCCTGGGGCCTCCTTCCTCCCCTTTTCAGAATCACAGAGAAGGCGGGCTTTGGAGTCAGCTGGCCAGGGCAAGTCCACTTATGCAGGATTTGCTAGTTGTGAGACTGTACAAGTTCCCTGACCCTGAGCCTCAGGTTTTTTCCTGTGAAATGGGACAATACCACATTCCTACAAGAGTTAGGGGAAGGATTAGAAAGTGTGACTTTCTAAGTGAATATCCGCAACTGAGAGCTCTCTGTTGAATGATCACTCGGCTTTCCTGGACCTTAGTCATCCAGGGTAGACATGAGGGTTCGCTGTCTGATCTCTAGATCGCTTTCTGTTTACCGCTTTATGACAAGATGGTGGCTCAGCACGGAGATGTGAGCGTCACCACAAGCAGAATCTTCATGACTGAGTGCACGTTACAGATCAGCTCCCTGGGGAACTCACAAGGACCTCTGGGTGTTTGCTGTGATGGAATCTGTCCGTCCCCCCTCCCTCCACCCTGTGAACACTGGTTCCCAGCATTTTCGGGAGCACATCACTTCAGCATGACTTCCCTTCCCCACTTTGTCTGTCCCTGCTCCGTCTTGGCTTTGGAGCAGCTGTGACAGCAGCGTGTCTGAGTATTCCCAGAGCCCTTGCCAGACAGGAGGGCTGCGGTGAGCGCGGCACGCTCTGTGGCTTTCCCCTGGCTCTCGTCCCTGCCTCCCTCCCTCTCTGGAGCAGTGCTGTGTGGCCGGTGGACTGCAGGTCCCACAGTGCCCAGCTCCGTAGCCACTCTATCAGCGTGCGTCTGGTCATTTCCCCTGGGACCCAAGGGCTTCCCAAGCCTAAGTCAGGGGAAAAGGAAGAAAATCTAGGTGCCCACCCACTTCTGATCAACGTGTGTCCCAGCAGTGACCTCACAGATGTCCTGCCTCGCGGACATCACCTTGTGTAAGGGGCCAGCCCCTGACCGGCAAGGCCTCACCGAAGAGGAGGACTTCAGGCAATGCAGACAGCCTCGTGGATTGCTAAGGCGGAGGCGGTGGGCGCGGTGCTGTTAGATGGGCCAGCTCTGGCCAGTGGCTTTGACCCCAACTCCACCCTTTACTAGCCGTGGGACCTCTCTCAATCACACTTTCTGAGCCCTGTTAAGTGAGGGTAAGAATATTCCTTACTTCTTCAAGTTGTTGTGTGAACCAAGAAATAGGTATTGAAGTTTCACACACACACACACACACACATGCACACACAGAGACACACACACACACATGCACACACACACATGCACACACAGACACATGCACACACACGGACACACACGCACACACACACAGACACGCACACACAGACACATAGACACACGCACACACACAGACACACACACATGCACACATACACACATGCACACACACATGCACACACAGAGACACACACACACAGACACATGCACACACACGGACACATGCGCACACACACAGACATGCACACACAGACACATAGACACACGCACACACACAGACACACACACATGCACACATACACACATGCACACACACACATGCACACACAGAGACACACACACACAGACACATGCACACACATGGACACACGCGCACACACACAGACACGCACACACAGACACATAGACACACGCACACACACAGACACACACACAGACACATGCGCACACACACACAGACACACATAGACACACGCGCACACACACAGACACACACAGACACATGCACACACACACATACAGACACACACACGGACTCACGTGCATGCACACACACACAGAGACACATGCACACACACACAGACACATGCACACATACGCACACACAGACACACACGCACACACATAGACACAGAGACACACACACGCACACAGACACAGATGCACACACACAGACACACACAGAGACACACACAGACACATGCACACACACAGACACATGCACACACACACAGAGACACATGCGCACACAGAGACACACAGACACATGCACACACACAGACACACACAGACACATGCACACACACAAATACATGTGCACACACAGAGACACACACACAGACACATGCACACACACGGACACACACGCATGCACACACACACAGAGACACACACACAGACACATGCGCACACACACAGACACACACACACACACACACATAGAGTATCCGACGTATGGGAAAGTCTCTATAAGTGTGTTTTGTTGTCATCATCATCATCACCCGCGTCCAGTTTCCCTGTGTGTGTGTCACTCTGGATAAACTAGGAGAAGCAGTGAGAGTCCCCAGGACAATCAAGACACTCGGGGGCTGAGGCTCGAGACCAGTGTGCCTGCCGCTGTCCCCTACAGCCACCTTACGGCAGGACTGTGGGGGGGTAAGAGTGAGGTACCAGAGATGTGTGGTGTGGTCACCCTGACACTTCATAAAGCCCTCCACTGTGCGGCAGAGCCTGGGACTTCCTCGACCACAGAAGTGACTGGACACGTTGGTGCGTCCCTCTCAGCAGATTCTCCACCTGGGAGGCAGCCAGCTCCCTGGGCCGTTCCCTCGGGGGTGAGTGGAACAGAGCAGAGCGGGGACTGGCATCATTTCTGGGAATGACGACCTTCGTTGAGGACCAGGGGTCTGTCAGCTACTGCCCAGGACATGTGTCGCTGTCCAGAATCAGACCCAGGCCCCGTGGGGCGGTCTCGCGGCCTGACCTGACAAACTTGGGTGAGTTCCCCCGTATTCTGAGGAGGAGGCCGAGACGGAATGGCCTACCGTGACAGAGTCTCTGTCCGAGACGCGCCCAGTCCTCTGGGCCAAGTGGGAGGCTCTCACAGGCAAAGGTAAGGCCAGCGGCTTCTGTCTCCCGTGACCACAGAAGGGGGCGGGAGCCCGAGGCCAGCTTCCCGGGGGCCACTGGTTGGCGTGCGGCGTGGCCCCTCTTCCCTTCAGCAGCCGAGAAGGGCCGCCCTGGTCAGCGTGGCGTTTGGTGTTTTGAGAGCCCGAGTGCTTTGCCCCCATCGCCGTGGTTTCTGTGGAGGTCACAGGTGCCATGTGCAGTGCTGGTCACTAGGGAGTCGGGAGGGCACCTCGGGGAGAGGACAGTGACGGGCAGGTGCTCAGCGTGTCTTCAAGGTGGGGTGGCAGGGAGAGTGAGTGGGCAGTAGAGCAATGGCCCTCAGTTCCCACGGGAGCCCCAAAGACTGAGGGCAGCCTAAGGCCAGCGCAGACGCAGGGGCGGCGGGAAGGTCACCAGGGCTGTGGGAGGGGGACGGTTTCTGTGACTGCACAGACAGGATTGAAATCAGCAGAAGAAGGGGACCTTCGCCATCCTTGGGAGACAGTGGCACCCTGCTCCCTTACAGCGCGCCTTCTTCAGCAGGGACAAGGGGGCAGTCACAGCAAGTGTGGGGGGGGCGCGGTCACTTGTGGCCACCGCCCAGGGACTGCCACAGCGTGGCACTAGTGAGCCTGCAGCCCGTTGTCTCCAGCCTCCCCTGGGGTCATCCCATTAGGGTCTGAGCACAGTCCACCCCTGGGGTGAGAACCCTCAGGCTCCCCGCATCCCCCCACCCACTCTACCCCCCAAGGGCATCGTGCACACCTAGTCCTACTCGGGGACCGCGGGGTCCTCTCGCCCACCCACTCTCTGCCGCTGCCACCTGGGCCAGCGTTCCCCGTCACCTTGGGCTGTGCTTCATGTCCCACAGGAGGGAGTTCCCTGCACCCCGAGTCTCCCCGAGCTCCAGGTCTCTGACTTCCAGCACAGAGCTGGCCTGAGAAGGCCTCGCTCCGTCTTACGAACTGGACTGAATCCTACTTCCCCAGCGCAGCGCACAGTGTGGCGCACATCAGAGGGCACGACACATGTCTGCTTGGTGGCTTCAGAGCTGACCCTGGCCTCACCGCTGACAGCAGCCATGTCTCGGGTCACTCCTGCCCTTGGCTAGCAGGAGTATGAGGTTCCAAGGGCAGAGCTCTGAGTGGTGGGCTCCGCCTTGAAGGAGATGGGGCGCTCGCTGACACGTGCCAGACTGGTCATGAGGATCCGTCCATTCATATAAAAATTGAATGTCTGTGTTTCAGTCAGCTTTTTGCTGCTGCGACCAAAAGACCCGACAAGAGCAATCAGAGGGGAATTTTTTTTGGGGGGGTCTCCAGGTTTCAGAGGCCAAGTCCGTAGGCGGCTGGCCCATTGCTCTGGGCCTCAGTGAAGCAGAACTTCATGGCGGAGTGTGGTGGAGGGAAGCGGCTCAGGACAGGCACCAGGAAGCAGAGACGGAGGGAGAGTCCTCCCCACAGGCCCAGCCCCAGGGACCCACTCCTCCACCCAGAGCCTGCAGTCACCACCCGACGCTCAGGGCCGACGCTGATTGGGTCGCGTCACTTCTGAGCTTCTTGCGGGTCTCCCACACGACCCTTTGGGGAACCCCTCTGGTCTGAGCCCCGACACTCTGAGGGTGTTCAGTCCTGAACAGAGCCATCACGGTCCTTCCTTCTCTGAGCTCACAAGAAAATGTTAGAGAAGCACATTCTGAACATGGGAGTTTCCTTGTTGTCTTGCTGGACTTGGGAAGGAAGATCTGAATCTCCTTAGAACCACTTTGCAATCTTAGGGCTAAACCTCTTCAATCTCGGGCCTGTTCCATATCTAACAGGGGAACCTAATGCCATGAGGGTACAAAGTAGAAGGCAGGGCTTTGACCTGGGGAGGTGTGCCACTCATTGGAGGGAAAGCTGTTGTATCCTCGAGGGAAGGATCATGCCTGGTTTCATGAATTCAAGAGACATCGCTGAGTGCCTAGTGTTGTGGGAACTGGCACCCCCTAGGTTTTTTCTGAGTACTCAGAACAGTTGAGGGCATGTACTAGGAACTCAGAAAGGTACTTGTGGGGTGGCTGATGGCAAGAAAGTCCTGGAGAACAAGTCCGAGGCAGCATGTGACCAGGTGTGAGAGTGCATCCACGTGCTGAGTGGTGACCGGCAGTGTTTGAGAGTCCAGGAGACAGGAGGAGATCTGGGGTCTGTTTAGAAGACCTCTCATCTCATCCTACAGCCGTCAGAGGAAGGAGTCCTGAATATCAAGGTATGACTCAGCTGGGTCGTTACAAAATGGCTTTCTTTGAAAACGTCAGAGGTGTAGGAGTGTGATGACGTGGGCATCAGGAGAACACTAGATTCGGAATGTAGATTCCTCAGTTTTATTTGTAGCCATATATCAGGAAGTCAAGGCCCGAAATGATTCAGGTTCACAACCTATAAAATCCTTCCTCTGACTCTTTCCCTCCTGCCCAATGCACCATGTTACTCTGACCAAACGGCTTCCTTAGTAAGCCCTGCAGAACTGCCTTGTCCCAGATATGACACCCTGAGAGGATTTGAAAGAAAATGTTGAACCTTGGTGATGAAGAACTTTGTAGTAGAGACCTTTCCTTCCAGGGACTAGGGGCCGTTTCTTTGGCATGAGAATCTCAGCACCAGCATCAGTTGCAGAGGGCTAGTTTCACCAAGTCTTCTCCAGACCCAGTGAACCAGATTCCACTCCGGCCACACGCTCCCAGAGCACCTTGCCCTTCCTTAACTCGAACACACCATGTTTTATTGAAATTCTGTTTTCATTTCTCCCTTTATGGAAAGTAAAGTCAGTTAAATTAGCCGGGCATTGTGGCGCACACCTGTAACCCCAGCAAATCAGGAGGCCGAGGCAGGGGGATTGCAAGTACCAAAATCTAAAATGATTTTTTAAAAAGGGTCAGGATATCGCTCGTGGTGGAGCACCCTGGGTTCAATCCCCAGTATCAGAAGGAAAAACAAGTCAGGAAGGACGCACGCAGTACAGACAGAGAGCCCTGTCTGCCTTTCCTCCTTGCTGGGCCCTCAGTGGCTGGCCGAGGCCTGGCACCTTGCAGCCGTCCGTCCCTACAGTGGAAGAGAGCGTTCCAGGTGGGGGTACAGAGGGGCCAGGGAAGGCGGAGGCCAGTTGTCTGCCTGTGTGCCTGGGGAATCGCAGAGCTCAGTGCTGAGCGGGTGAGGGGCCGGTGACAAGACAGGGTGAGGCCGAGTCAGAGCGTCTCCCTGGAGGCTCCAGTTGGAGTCTCAAGAACGGCTGGAAGCCAGGGGCGACTGAGGCAAAGCGGTGGAGGGAATCCCATGAATGGACAGACTCTGCTCTGGGCCTGGGAACTTCCTTTGCCCGTGCACACTTCCTGCTGAGAGCCTTTTGGCGCAGTGTCCCGTGAGCTCACCAGTTGCTGGTCACAGGTTTCTTGGGCTGGGGCCATGAGGGCCAAAGGGGAGCCGATGTCCCTGGAACCTGGCTCCGCGGGACACCCTCACATCATGAGCTGAGCGGCTGGTGGTTTCTGAAGGTCGCAGGAGTCATGAGTGAAAGGCCTGCTCCTCTTTCCTCGGCAGGGCCGGGCCTGCCTGGCTGCTGTGCCTGCTCGGCTGAATTCCGTTGCTCTCTCCCTCGGAGACGTCTTTCCTGATGCCCGTCCCGATTTTCCAAGGTGCTCCCTTCTCAAGTGCTGCACTCTCTCCAGGTGGATTCCTTGCCCACAAGTAAGGCGGTCAGCGGACCAGCCTTTTGGCAGACGAGACCAAAGGGTCACGTTCTTTGTCTGGAACCATTTTTGTGCTTTCTTGGGGACTTGCAAGAAATGAGGGACAGAGACCATCAGGGAGATGTCATCAGGGACTGAAAACATGTCCCAAATCCCGGAAGAAGAGAACGTGTGCTTCTGTGGATTCCCTTCCGAGCTCCGTCCCGTTTCCTCTCACCCCCACCCTGCTCTTCCCTTCATCCCTCTCTTCTCCTTGGTGAGGCTCTCTTCCCACCTTGCGCTCGCTCTCTCCTTCTTCCCGACTTCTCTACTTGTCAGTGAGGCTGAGCCCCGTTCCATGCTGGGCTTTCTGTTCACCGTCCACCGACCCAATGGGCTAAGTCCGAGTGCTGTCCACCTGGCGGACGAGGGAACACAGACTGCACACTCAGCCGAGCTCAGCACACAGCCGCCGGGATCTGAACTCAGTCATCCGATTTCCGTGCCTGTCTTCCTGTAACCACTGGCAGGTTTCTTTTCCTCCGTTGGGAACTCCCCGTCATTCCCCGTTTCTGATCCTCTGCTCTCCTTCGATTCTTTCCCTCTGCCTCCTTCCTTCCTTGCTCTCTCGCACCATATGCCAGTCACTGCCCGTCTGGGGCTGAGCCCAAAGGTGCTGAACGCGTCTGCGTGCCCAGGAGGGATGACAGACCATTCAGACGCTTGTCTTATCAGCCGTTTTCCTTTTGAGCAAATCCTCCACATTTTCCAGGTTTGGAGGCCCAGGGCGGGCCCTTCTCCACCTGGAGTAAAGGGCAGATGTTTAGTCACCAGCCAGAGGCAGGCCTCAAGCCCTGGGTGAGTCTTTGATACGGAGAGGGACAAGGATAAGACCCTTCCCACTCAGGGACTCTGTCATTCTCAGGGACCCCACATGCTCTCAGGGTTGGGGACCTGGGGCTGGGAGGAGTCAGAACCCGGAGACTGGTCTCTGGCGAGGCCTCACCTCAGGAGTCAGTGAATGTGGGCCGTGAGAGGCAGCACCCCACCCTGCCTTTCCCCCAGCATCAAGCATGTTCCAAAAGGAACCAGAGTTGGCATCAAGACAGGAAGGTCAAAATGTGGCCTTGACCACCCAAGGTCCTGTGCGACTCTGATGTGCGCCTCAGGGCGTTGGCCAGCATTTCTGGAACTCTGTGGGCACTTCAGACCTTTGGCCCACACAGCCCTGTCCATGGGCAGGAAGCGAAGGAGAAGGAAAGAAGTGTGGAGAGGCGCCTCGCTCACCGGGGGACAGAGAAGCCGTCCTGAGCCCTCTGTCCCCACTGGGCGCCCTCGTCCTGCGGGAGCGCGTCTGGGTTTGCCTCCTCTAATGGGACGCGGCGAGGACCAGGAGCGTCCGTCCTAGTTAGCGTCCCACTAGTTAGGGACATGGAGGCGCATCGCTCTTTCCTTCACTCAGCCAGGCTTCCTGCACGTCCACTCTGGGCCACGCTCTGGTGATGCAGAGGAAAGTCTCTGTTTTCAAAACGCCTCTGTTGGAAGAGCACAGCCGGGAGAGGTTGTAAAACGTGTGTGGGAGAGGGGTGAGTGTGCCCGTGTCCCCGCAGTGTGAGCAGGAAGGTAAGTGTCATCAGCTAGAGGAGAGGGCCCGGGAAGTCACAGTTGAAAGGAGAGCGTTGCTGAGTCTGTCCACCAGGACCGGGCCTGCGGGACAAAGGGAGCCCAGCACTCAGCAAGTCCCCCAGGGGGACCGGCTGCGCTGCTCCGGGAAGGCAGAGGAAGGCGGCCAGCAGCCGCGGAAGCTGAGCGCTCCTCCCTAACACCGTTGAGACATGCTGTTCCTCCCTCTCAACACGGCTGTCCCCTGGATGGTCTGTCATTACAGAGTGCTTCCCGAGAGGCCAAAGCTGCCACAGCCAACCTTCTTCCTTGTCTCCCACCTAGGCCTCCGGAACCCTGAAAGATTCCTTTTCTGTCAATCATCCAGAGCCCCGGATGTTTGCCCTGTAGTTCTCAGCACATCAGACACTTCATCTACCTTGATCCTCCAGATCCTCCAGTGCACTTATTTCCATCCCCATCCGACAGACAAGGAAGCGGATTCCGGGAAGTAAATGTGAGTCGCGGTACCTGAGAACTCCAGTTCTGTGTTTCTTTCTCCGGTGTTTGTCTGGGTGTGGTCTGTGGACTGTCTGCACCAGAATCACCTGGGCCGCTTGTGGCAAATTCAGGTTCTGGGGCCATCAGACTCCTGAGGTAGAATCTCTGGGAGTCTGAGCACAGGTTCCAACTGTAACTCACACCTGAGTTCATTGCTAGATCCTTCCAAGTGTGGAAGCCAAATCCCCTCTCTTCATTTTTGCTGGGGGCTGGGGGTAGAGTACACTTGACTTCTATGTTGGGCTCTTTGGTACGGATCAAGGTCCAGAACATGACGGACCTTGCAGACCTTTGCAGAAACACCACCCCCCCCTCTCCCCCAACCCTCTCGGTTTGCAGAAGCCCCGGCACCGTCCCCTCCCCTCCAGCATGGGCGACTGGAGCTTCCTAGGGGAGTTCCTGGAGGAGGTCCACAAGCACTCGACGGTCATCGGCAAGGTCTGGCTCACGGTGCTCTTCATCTTCCGCATGCTGGTGCTGGGCACCGCGGCCGAGTCCTCCTGGGGGGACGAGCAGGCCGACTTCCAGTGCGACACGATTCAGCCGGGCTGCGAGAACGTGTGCTACGACCAGGCCTTCCCCATCTCGCACATCCGCTACTGGGTGCTGCAGATCATCTTCGTGTCCACGCCGTCTCTGGTGTACATGGGCCACGCCATGCACCACGTGCGCATGGAGGAGAAGCGGAAGCTCCGGGAGGCCGAGGGGGCCAGAGAGGGCCACCGCGGGGCTGGCTCCTGCGAGTACCCAGCGGCCGAGAAGGCGGAACTGTCCTGCTGGGACGAAATGAACGGGCGGGTGGTCCTCCAGGGCACCCTGCTCAACACCTACGTCTGCACCATCCTGATCCGCACCACCATGGAGGTGGCCTTCATCGTGGGCCAGTACCTCCTCTACGGGATCTTCCTGAGCACCCTGCACGTGTGCCGCCGGAGCCCCTGCCCGCACCCGGTCAACTGCTACGTGTCCAGGCCCACGGAGAAGAACGTCTTCATCGTCTTCATGCTGGCCGTGGCCGCGCTGTCCCTCTTCCTCAGCCTGGCCGAGCTCTACCACCTGGGCTGGAAGAAGATAAGGCACCGGTGGGGCAAGCCTCAGCAGCACCTGCCTGAGCGCCGGCTCCCGGGTCCCTCCGGGGCCACGGCCCAGAGCTGCACGCCTCCGCCCGACTTCAGTCAGTGCCTGGAGGACGGCCCTGGGGCAAAGTTCTTCCGTCCCTTCGGTGACAGCATGGTCCCCCCGCAGAACCCGGACAGCCTGGCCGCGGACCCAGTGCCAGGCCAGCAGCAAGATCCCAGGGAGGGTTTCATCCAGATCCGGTATGGCCAGAAGCCCGAGGTGCTCAACGGAGTCTCCGCAGGTCACCGCCTCCCACACAGCTATCACAGTGACAAGCGCCGTCTCAGCAAGGCCAGCAGCAAGGCCAGGTCAGATGACCTATCCGTGTGACCCTCAATCATGGGAGGACCAGGGGTAGGCGGGGAGAAAGAGGCCCGGGGGGGGAAAAGGGGTCTCTTCCTCCCCGGGTCCCCATCCTCGTCACTCCTCTGCTCCTGTGGGCCCTGCGTCTCCCCGGTGGGCGCTGCTGAAGGTGTACCCGGAGCTCTGAGAGTGAGGAGACGGGGCTCCCCAGGCGCTGCCTCCCCACCTCCACCTGGTGTCCTCCGGGCCTAAGCCAGAGGAAGGGAAGGGTAGCCCAGGAGTGGAACGCCAGAAACACCCCATTACGGCCTCCTGCTCGATCCCCAAAGAACCCGACCCAGCCCTGACCCGCCCACGGACGAGGTCAGAGTTCCCAGCCCAGAGAGGACTGGCATCACGCCTGCTCTGGATCGTGTCCCCATGGGCCGTGTCCTGGGGTCGGTGAGGGGCCTTGCCTGCCCCGGTGCTCCTCCTCTACTCAGTTTTTAAAGGGATCCCCAGAACTTGACCATCAGTCTCAACTTGAGAGGTGCTCTGGTCTGTACCTCTGGCAGATGGCCCATGTTGGGGACGTCCCTGTCTTTCGCCAGAGCGCACCCAGTCCACAGGGCACCTGCTCTCATGGGGAGTCTCTGTGCACGCAAACGCCACTGGGATTCCTGCCACTACCCGTCCTCCTGGGGCTCCTTCACAGCTCAACTCAGTGATAGAAACCATTCTCGCCCCTCCTCCCGATCCTCCCTGGGCTGTTTGTCCAGCGTTCCTCCAAAGACCTTATCAACAGGGGTGGCCGGGCACAGTGGCCAAGCCTGTGATTCTAGAGGCTCGGGAGGCTGAGACAGGAGGATCGTGAGTTCAAAGCCAGCTTCAGCAACTCAGCAAGACCCTGTCTCTAAGTAAAACCCAAAGAAGGCTGGGGGTGTGGCTCAGTGATTAAGTGCCACTGGGTTCAAACCTGGGAAACCACCCCCTCCCAGCCAAAAAAGATCTTATGGACAGGAAACCCCAAGAGCCCTTGTCTCTCAGATTCTGCCCAGATCACCAGCACTGAGGTCAGCGGAGTTTCCCGAGGACTTATGAAAACAGAGACAGAATTGTGCTCCCTAGATTCCTCTTGGGAAAAAGTAGTTCTGCTGTGATGATGAGAATGAGAAAGGAGAGAAGCCCCTGGAGATCATCTCCCTCCTATCCCTTCTGCTGACTGCCAACCTGAGTGCCCAGAGGAGGGCGGTGGCACCGCGAGACCCAAGGTCTCCCCAGGTGTTGGAGGGTCAGAAGGAGGGAATCTCCAGGTTGTTTAGTTCTGTTTGGGAAGGCCCTTATTTAAGGGGCACAGACTCCAACCTGTCTCTGGTGCCCCCAAGGAGACTGCCAAGTGAGGGTGCAGAGGCTCTGCCCCCTGACGCTGTCTGGTGTCTCCAGATGAATCCATCACGGTGCCTCCATTTGGAATGCAGATAAAGGGCACCCAGAATTGGACAGTGACATTATTACCTTTGAAAATGCATGTGTGCGTGTGTGTGTGAGCGAGATGCATGTTTTTGAACCAGAGATTCTGTGAGATCACTCCTTGATGGTGAGGTTTTACAGGAAGAAAAAGAGAAGTGATGTGAGTCATTTTTCTTAATAAACTCTGTCTTACATCTATCTTTTGTGTCCCTTCTACATTGTGACTCCAAGAGAAGGATGAGGTGGGAGTTGACTGGGTGGGGAAGGGGAGCTTTGGGGTCCCATGTGTGAGGGCTCCAATCCCAGCTGCTGATTTGCAAGTGGCAAGCCCCTTAATATCTGAGACTTTGTTCTGTCATCTGTAAATCGGGCCTCGGACTGTTAAATGAGAGACAGTCTGGCCGAGTGCTTGGGGCATAGTTGTGCGTGTGTGTGTGTGTGTGTGTGAATAGTCTGTTGTTAGATGGGAATCGTCACCATCATTACCCTGATTGCTTTTGTTCCCATTTAGAAGAGTATTTGAAAACCTGGGACGTTAGGACTGATCCCAGAACTCCCCCTTGGGAGCTCACAATCTGACCTACCTGAAGTGATCAAAGTCACTCCACAAAGGAAGCAACCACAATAGAATCAAATACAATCTATGATCAATTCCAAGACCCATAAGGCTCCAGAAAGTGATATGATGAGGGAAAACAGAGGCGGGGAGAGACCTGGCTCGGACCTGATGAGCGGCTACAGCTCTGGAGAAGGGACCCGAGGGCCACTCTGGAAGAGGTCTCAGCACCCCGCTCTACGGACATGGAAACTGAGGTTTTCCAAGATTGGAGCAGCTTCCCACTGGCCCTGCGGCAGGAAGAGCAGAAATGATCCCTGTCCAAACACGCGTGGAGGCACATCTCGCCCTTCACCAACAAACAGGTGTCATTTCCAAAAGAGTGAGACGAGGTTAGTGAGAAGGAGCGCGAGCGTCCACACCGATCCCGTTGGTCAGCTGCTCCGGAGAGACCTTGCAGAGAGGTCACTGAACACATCTTAGGGCACCTGTGTCGAGATGTGGGCGTGCACCTGTGCCAGGTTACGGCGCCTCGCCCACAGGGTCTGAGGAGTCCAGCCGGAAGAATGACCTGGGACTCATTTGTTTTTTCCCTGGAGAAAAGTAGCACGTCTCGTGGTTCCATAAACACAGCTACAACGTGCAATAGTTCATATCATGCTCTGAGTGCAAAGGCCCAGGGGACTGACTCCTCTGTCGTTTTTTTTTTTGTAGTTGTAGATGGACAGAATGTCTTTATTTTATTTGTTTATTTTTATGTGGTGCCGAGGATTGAACCCAGAGCCTCACATATGCCACTCAGCCCCAGCCCCAGCCCCAGCCCCAGCCCCAGCCCCAGCCCGGGACTCATTTTTTAGTAAGATTGCAACCTCCTGAATTTCTGCACTCATTTTCTCTCTGCAGCCGAAGCTCCTTCACTAAGAGCATAGTTGGTGGATAATACAGTGAACACACTGAGTTTTAGGCTCCTTCAGGCCCCCTTCCTGAATTCCCTTCCCCTGGTGCCAGATAAGGCCAGAATCTCTCCACTGACTGGTGTCTCATTTCAATGGCTAAAGGGTTTAAGTAGTTAGATGCTAATAGTGCTCCTATGGAAAATCACAGTGTACCTGAGTCTCAGATTGTTTTCTTAATAGCAAACTTTTGACAGCAGAGAGACAGGGCCTTGCAGGTGTTTGGAGGATTGCTTCCACGATGTGCAGATCAAGAAATCAGTGAGGCTGGAGAGGGCCACCGAGAATAGCCGCCCACCTCCCCGTCCCCGGGAGGCCCCGGGAGGCCCTGAAGCCAGCCCAGGTGCAGGCCCTTGACAGCACATAGAATTCAAATGACAGACATGTAAACGGAACAGGGTCAGTGGTCCTCCTAGTGCTGGTCACCTAGCGGTCGTCAGCACTGGGGGGGTCTAGAGGTTCTCACTCTTCTTCCAAGTGGAAGAGGAAAACTTTCACTCAACAAGTATTTATTGAAACACTATTTTTTGTTGGTGTATAGCATTCTACAGAATGTGGGTTTCCTTTGGCATGTCTGAACAGGCACAAAACATGATTTGGACCCTTCCACCCCTGATGCCCCCCGTCCTTCCTCACAGCCCCTTTCTCCACCCTAATAGTCTCCCATCTTGAATGTTCATTTTGAGCTGGGCATTGGGTTAGGAGTCAAGGATACGATTTTACGAACCACACGGAACTCCGGCCTTTTGTAGCCTGTGGTCTGGTGGGGGAGGCCCTGTCTGCAAGAAACAAACAAACACACAATGTCACACTGTGGTGAGTGCCACCAAGGAAACCTCAGGGGGCCACAACGCCTGGGCGGGGCCTTCTTCAGAGAGGGTGAGCGGGGTCCTCTCTAGAGAGGTCTTGTTGCACTCGAGGTCTGACAGTGAGGACACAGCGCTGGTGAGTGGGGGCCACCGGCAGGGCACCCCGATTCCTTCTGGGAGACTCCGGGACACAGCTCTTCTCTGTCTTGGTCTGCCCGACATTCTTGAAGGACAGAATTCAGGCCACACCTCAAACAACACTCTTTGGTACCAACTGTCACAAAGCACACACAACTTTTTTCTATAAAGACGTCGAGGGACAGAGGAACATTACAGAGGTCTGAATTAAAGCAAGCAATAGCGTGCGTGGAAGAGGAAGCAGCCTGTCCCATGGGGCGACCACGATTTCTACAGGCATCAGTTCTTCTGCTTGGGGCGGTCTGCGCTAGGCCCAGCTCCTGAAGGAAGACTTGGGAAGGGGTGTGGCTCCTTGGGGACAAACCAGCTTCAGGCTTACCTGGGAGTCAGGGCTGGGGGAGGAAGACTGGGTCCTAGTGGGTGGGCAGGAGCCCGCAGGGCGAGTCCCAGGGTGGCCTTGTCATTGGAGAAGTCACAGCAGTGAGACCCCGGACACAGAGGCCAGCAGGGGGAGGGGGAGGGGCGCAGCCGCCGGGCAGCCAGGTCACACAGTTGGGCCACCACCAGGCAGGCAGGCCCTTCAGGACAATTCTTAGCTGCGGTAGGACACAGCCTCCAATCTGGCCCTGGGGACAGACCTCCGACTCAGGGGAGGGACACTGACTTGGGCAAGGCTTTGTCTTCAGGCCGGGTTACCTGGCAGGACCCCCCGACGGAGCCTTGGACACAGTGACCGTGGGACGTTGGCAGGATGGCGCGAGACTCAGGTGAGGAGAGCTCTTGCCAGGAGACTGTATGACTTCATAGACACCTTCAGAGCCTCAAGCCAAGGAATGGCCACAGAGTCCAGGCCCCTCACTGAATCAGGTGGCAGGTAGGCAGGTGATGTTTGGCACGGAGCCTGATGCTACTGAGAAATCAGCTGAGTGGCACCCACTCCTGACCCAGGATGAAGCCCTGGGGGGCTGTGGCTCGGAAAGGACCCGTCCCTCCCTCCCTGTGACCCAGCCGAGTTTCCACTGCAGCGAGTGCAGGCCCTATGACACTGGGACGGCTTACTGCTAATCAGGGCCTCCTCAGAAGGAGAAGCCGTTCGGGGTGTGCAGAGCCTGGCTGTGCAGCCGGCCAAGGTCAGTCCCCGTCTCCGCTGCTCTCCCGCCAACGGAAGGATCCAGAGTGGAAAGTCACCTTCTGCCTTCCTGGGGTTTTTCTTTAAGGGGAATGAAATGTGAACTGGAGGGTTTTAAATGTAAAATGTGGGTTTTTATATTGGAAACCAATAGGATTTGGATATGGTTGCTGGGGGGAAGTCAGTTCTAAGAACACCATGTATTTTGGTAACAAAGAAACAAACCTGGAATTGTTAAGTGCTTACTGTTTTCTAGGCCCTGGGCTAAGAGACTTCATGAATGACCATTTCATCCTTAAAATGATCTATGGGATTGTCGGACCCACCTACAAGGGGAGGAAAATGAGATCCAGAAACCTGCACACTGGCCGGCGGAGGACCGGCCCCTCTCTTGCTGTCTGCATCATGCTATCACATACTCTCATAAAAAGGCAATGTTCAAATTGTCTGCACACCATGTCACGATGTGTAAAAGTAGGTATTTGTAAGAACAAAAACAAGAAATAAACCAAAATGAAAGCAGTTGCACCTATTTGGTGGATCTGTGGGGGGTGCACTAATTATCTTTATTTTGTGAATTGGAATTGTTAAGCGCTTATCATGCTATTTTTAAAATTTAAAAATGTCTTTATACTCAACCTTTGGGCTAAATCTGGTGTTTCCCTAGGGCGGCTGCCAGAGCCGCCTCTCCCCACTTCCACAGAACTCGAGCCTTGGGAAAGTTTCCCTGTCTGGAATGAGGGCAGCGGAGGCATGGCTGGGGGCCCAGGCTGCAGACTGGCGCAGACGGCTGGGGAGCTGCGGCCTCTGAAGCGGCTGAGCACTGGAGGGCGTGTGCAAGCACCCTCCCACCCCGCCCTGCGCACCTCCAACGTGGGGGACGTGGGGTGCCCTCAGGGGGGAGGACAGGGAGGGTAGGCACTGCTGGGAGGGCATTAGGGAGGAGCCTGTGCTTAGCCACTTAGGCCTTGCAGGGGGGGGGGGCAATGCCAGGTGACATGTGGCAGTGCTAGGATTGGTAAAAAGGAGGAGGCCAGGGCAGGTCCTCAGAGCAAGGAGCGCACCCTGGGAGGGAGGAGTGACACTTAATGGGCTTTGAAAGGAGTAAGAATGAATTTGTTGTGTCTGAGGAGAGGACATTTGAGTGAGAGAAAATAACCGATTAAAACAGGCCATGCCCAGTGGTGCAGGCCTGTAATCCTAGCACCTCGGAGGCTGAGGTAGGAGGACCTAAAGTTTGAGGCCAGCCTCTGTAGCTTTGAGAGGTCCTCAGCAACTTAGGGAGATCTTGTCTCAAAATAAAAAAATACAAAGGGCTGGGCATGTGGCTCCATGGTGAAGCTCCCAGCGTTCAATCCCCAGTACCCAAACAGACACCTGCCACAGAACCAACAGAACTTCACGGTTTGTTGGGGACCTGGGAGGACGGCCCCCATGGGAACTGTGGGAGATGGGGACTCTGGAGACTTGCTGAGGATTGTAGGGGCCTAGGCTTCAAGGTGAGTACAGGTGGTAGTCGTTGAGACCAAAGTGAATGGGACAGTGCTCAGCCACAAGCTAGGGACACATGCAGAGCCCCAAAACTGGAACTTGGGAACTGGTGAGGCACGTGG